AGTTATAACTCTAATGTTAGTGGATATTTTATATTTTAAGGATTTAATGGTATAATAATTAATTAAAACTTTGTTAATTTCACATTTATAACAACTAATATTTATGCTCGTATTGAGAAGTAAATTAAATATTTTATATAAAATTAGTTATTCTATAGATGAGAAATTAGTCCAAATAATAGGTTAAGAATTTTATACACTCTAACTACAAGGTTTATTATTATTTTCGGTAGTAACAGAAAATTACTTATTTTTTACTAACAATTTTTCCAATTAGACAATTGTATATCCTCTGTAAAATTGGCTTGAAATTGATGTTGATATTACAGGAGTTTAATAATCATAAATTGATATAATTGCTTCAAATTAATAGAGTTCAGCCAAATAAACATATTTTTTATTGAATGAAGCCTACTAGTCTATTCCATAAGAATAAGAAAAATAAAATGTAGGCTTAATAGTTGGACTCTCCATTTTTCTTTTAATTGTAATAACTTTAATAACTACAATAATTTTAAAATATTTTAAATATAAGTAGACATTAACCAGAAATTCAAATTATTTTGAATTGGAAAATAGATAATGAGAATATCTACTAATAAATTATTGTGATAATATCATTAAAATAATTACATATTATTATTTATTTAATTCATATCATACATAAGTTGAAATGAACATAAACTTATATATATTCAAATTTTAACAAAATTTTCTTATTCCAAAAGAAAAGGAAAACTATTTTGTTGAATTTCCATAAATATTAAATTGATTATGAATATTTTTTTATAATTTTCTTATCACAAGTATTATGGATTAGATGAGAATTTCAAAATTGAACAACTAAATCAGAGATGCTATTNACATCCTTATAAAAAAATGGTATATATAATCCCATATTTTACTTACTTAATACATGTATTTCTACATAAATTAGTTAATAATTTGGTTTTTAATCTAACTCGTATGCTTAAATATTTAACATCTATTTTTCAATTACAACCTGGAATTTATATCAAACTTTACCAATTTACTTCAAATTTTTATCTGATATACAATAATATTAAATTTCAAAACTTATAGCCAAAGATTTTGTAGTTGAATCACAGTTTATTATCTCATTAAGCTATAGTATTGAGATTTATGCAATCTTATTTAATCTTAATAACGGAACTATTATCGGGTTCCATAAATATACAAGTTTATTCCTAAGTTATAACTCTAATGTTAGTGGATATTTTATATTTTAAGGATTTAATGGTATAATAATTAATTAAAACTTTGTTAATTTCACATTTATAACAACTAATATTTATGCTCGTATTGAGAAGTAAATTAAATATTTTATATAAAATTAGTTATTCTATAGATGAGAAATTAGTCCAAATAATAGGTTAAGAATTTTATACACTCTAACTACAAGGTTTATTATTATTTTCGGTAGTAACAGAAAATTACTTATTTTTTACTAACAATTTTTCCAATTAGACAATTGTATATCCTCTGTAAAATTGGCTTGAAATTGATGTTGATATTACAGGAGTTTAATAATCATAAATTGATATAATTGCTTCAAATTAATAGAGTTCAGCCAAATAAACATATTTTTTATTGAATGAAGCCTACTAGTCTATTCCATAAGAATAAGAAAAATAAAATGTAGGCTTAATAGTTGGACTCTCCATTTTTCTTTTAATTGTAATAACTTTAATAACTACAATAATTTTAAAATATTTTAAATATAAGTAGACATTAACCAGAAATTCAAATTATTTTGAATTGGAAAATAGATAATGAGAATATCTACTAATAAATTATTGTGATAATATCATTAAAATAATTACATATTATTATTTATTTAATTCATATCATACATAAGTTGAAATGAACATAAACTTATATATATTCAAATTTTAACAAAATTTTCTTATTCCAAAAGAAAAGGAAAACTATTTTGTTGAATTTCCATAAATATTAAATTGATTATGAATATTTTTTTATAATTTTCTTATCACAAGTATTATGGATTAGATGAGAATTTCAAAATTGAACAACTAAATCAGAGATGCTATTGTACAAATGATTCAAAATAGATGTCGCGTTAAAGCATTTAATAATATAAGAATTTTATCTGGATATCATTATAACATTTAGATGTGAAGCAATTATTTTATTTTATATCACAAAGTATTTAAGTACAAAATAAACATTTTTGAAAATTATTAATAAGGTAAATTGTCTATTTTTATCGATAATAAGTATTCAAAGTATTTCCTCATTATAAAAAGATCTTATCTTTCAAAAGAGAATTTGGATCAACTGTCTAGCACTTTTTCTATAGTAATGTTAGAATAGTTACTTTAGTGAATACCTTTAATAACTTTACTAGATTAGCAACAAAGGACGATGAATAATTATACCGATATTAATCGACAAAACATGAATCATCAGCAATAAGCTAAATTCAAAAAGGATTCTATTCAAGAGATATACATATCTATGAATAAATCTGATAAGTAAGTTAGTGATTGTTGAAGATGTTTAAAAGAGCCATTATAGCCTTTAATATTGTCCAATTAATCCAATTATAAAAATGTTTATTAAAAAGAGTTTCAAAAATCAAAAAAATATAAATGTTACTTTTCTTTATTATATGTAGCTCCTTATCAATACTATTAGTTTTATATATTGAAAAATGAATCATTTGTTAAAAATCAAAAAAGTGATTATATAATTCTAATGAAAGTATCAGAAAAACTATTTGAAATAGAATTTGTAAACAACTTACTCTGTTGATAATTCAACACATTACTGGCAAGCATCTTAAATTGGGTATTTAGCAAATCTAAAAAGTGACTATCTACTTAGATCTTATCATATAGTGATTACTCTAGATTCTCTCCATTGATTATTCCAATTATAAAATCTCCAAGTATAAGAGCAAGAAATCCATTATACAACCAAACAATTCTCCATGTTCTTTATAAAAATTCCTATTTTAATGATCTTACTATCCATTTATTAATTAATGAAATTTAATTCTGAGTATATTTAGGCTTATCTCCCTTCAGAACCTGACCCTTTATCAAAATTTAATACTCATTTAACTGACCTAATTAGTAACCTTACTAACACTCATCTCTAAGGCATTTACAACAATTATTGCTTTTTTTTTTGACTTATACCTTATTTTAGAATACAATTCTAGCAGTTTTTTAGATATTTCTATCTAATTAATTTTTTGTAGAGCATACAGGATTATTACAAAAGCTATTCGATACAAATATACTTAATCTATCAGTAATATTTAGAAATCCATTTCATAAATCGTCATAATCAATGACAATGATCTTTATTTAAATCCACTAATATGTAATTTTAACTTCATTCCATATTATAATTGGATCCTATTTAATTAACAGAATAACATAATGGTGACAAAAATGGAAAGTATCCATTTCTAGGAACATATGTGATTCTACCCTATTTCTAAAAAAATAATAGAAGAAAAGAAAAAATAATCTTATATGAAGTGCTACCTAAATAATTTTAATTAATTATTCATGTAAATTCTTATTATTTGTAGTTGAAGTCAATAAATAGCTGCTATGAGTTAATATTTGGTTTCCTATTTCTGAAGAGTTGATCCAAATAATTCTAGAATTATGAATAATTCTCCTAATGTTTAGAATTATAACTTCTAAATTTAGAAAGGAAATTAGAGATTATATTGATCCCTTTATCCTTCTCCTATTCTTCAATATCAAAAAAATTTCTAAATTCATAAAATCGATTAGGTTCTAGTCCTCAAATAGTTGAAGATTTGAAAAGATCTTCTTTCCTTAGGATCTCTGCCTACAATGATCCAGGGGATTTAGATCTCATTTGATAAGATAATTATTTTCAATATAGTCTATTATTTTTCTTTAGACTTTAAGTTTACATAATTGTTGATATTTTGACACTTTAGAAATTAACAAAAATAATTTTATTTTAATAATAGTAGATGAGTTATTGCAATATTTTTTTAATTAAAGAGAATGCTCCTGTTGATATAGTTATTAAGAATTTTTTCCTAAATACTTTTACATATTATTTGTATTTAAAACTTATTTGAAATTTCTCTAAAATATATCTTGATGGAATTTAGAAAGAACAATTTTTACTATATTAATAAATGAAGGCATAAGATTTAATTAAACATAATGAATTTGTTTGTGGTAAAAATTAATCAGTACTTTGATTGTCCTTTCTAAACTTGTTAAAGTAGATTGAACATCATATTTCAATCTTTAGCAGTAAACCTTTTATCTGCTTTGTAAGGATAAAATTTTGTGAAGTAATAATTATTTGTAATTTTAAATCTTTAATTTTTATATCGGTTTGTTTTTTATAAAGCAATCTTTTCAGCTTATACTACAACAACCATATGTATAAAATTTGAAAAAATAGAAAATTATACCTTTTATGTCAGATTCTATCAAGAAATAATAAAGCACTATTTTGGCATACCTATAGGCAGCAAAATTTGTTTTTGTACTAGAAAAATGAAGGATTCACTAATAAGGCGAAAAATATAACCCGAGATTTTAGTAACATATAACATCTAAAGAGAGAATAAGTTAATTGTATTGTGAAAATTGCCATATTCAATATAGAAACTAATTATAAAATTCTTTATAAATTCTAAATACTTAGATACTATGATATTTCAGTATACAATATTTATAATGAAAAGTGTCAACATAATTTATAATCGATTTGATATTTCAAAACCAAGTTATTTTAGAAAATATCAGAGTTGATAAATTGAGATACTTATATATATATTAATCTTACGACAATTATCCATTAATCAGGAAGTTTTGTCCTTAAAAACAATGAGTATTTAAATTGCTTTTTATATATTTTAAATATTTTTATTAAGCCAAATTAAGATACGTGGGATTATATAATTCCATCTTTGAAAAGTTATAGATGATAAATAAATTATAAAGATAATGAGCTATTGTATAGATCATCCTTAATAAAAAATATCAGCTATTTGTGTTTCATCTCATAAATGTTAGAGAAAACTGTGTGATTAATGTATGAGCAATCATCTAATGACCCAATAAAAGCCACTTCCAATAAATATTTTTTTGGATAAATTACAAGAGAAAGTCAATTAATATAAGTTAAAGGAGAACTAGTAAAAATAATAGTTCAGAGTTGCTTTTAAATGTGTTCTCGATTCAACAGAATAGATGATAATAAAATTATATAAATAACTTGATGAATCTATTGAAAAAATATTTAGCAAGATGGAAGAATAAGATTAATCATACATTAATCTCTTAGACAACAATTCCAATCCCACAGATTCTTCAATTAATGATTTAGAATAGTTAGTTTAAATTTTGGAAGGAAATACATTAGAAGATTGGAATAACTAAAAAAATTATTATATGTTATAATTGGAGACATCCAAAAATTGGTTGGAATAAGAGATGAAAAATTTTAGTAAAAATTTCAATTTTGAAATGAGTGAAATATTGTCAAATTTTAAGTAAATATTTTCTATATAAATTAGGAGCTATTAAGATAAATAATTTGTGTGGCAAGAAAGTAGATACATTGAGAAAAGTTTTTTATGGAATTATTCAAAAGAAAGATTTATCAATACTGAATATTAAAAAATATTTACTAAATAAAAAGAAATTTAATATATTAGGGAAGGCTCAATTTTAAGAAGGTATTATATTTATATTGAAAACAAAATAGTGATATAATTATTGACTCTTCCTAAAAACCCTAGATGTTTAGTAACTTAGAGTAAATCCAATATTTAAATTGGATTGGAGCTTATGGAAAATATAATTAAAAAGTTGGAAAATGGTTAGCTACTTGGAAGGGAGAACCAATAAACAAAGTTGGTGGCTAGTACTCAGACTATGGAAGAAAATTAGGGAAATGGAAAGAGCTAATCAATAATTATTGGAGGTTATTAATTTTAATTATATAATAGCAAAGCATAAGCTTACGAAATTGGAGAGTATGAAAATGGATAAAGAAGAGGAGCTTGGAAATGTATATATGGAGATAAAGAAATGTATTTGATATACTTATACATTAAAGTGGTCAAGGAGACTATAACTCATAAGGTAGGAAAGAAGGCAAATGGATAGAATTAACTGATGGATTTTGGGATCAATCTTAAGCTATCTTTTAAGGAGAATATAGAGATGGCAAAAAAGTTGGATAATGGGATATTAAATTAAGAAGCGAAGGTTAGGAAGAATTTGAATTAATGTAAATATCATTAAAAGAAAATTTAGCGGTGGAGGATCTTATAATGAGTCTGGTGATGAGGTTAAGATTGGGAAATGGATTGAGTTGCCAGATGGTTTCAATAATGAGCAAGAAGTAACCCTTATTGGTGAATATGAAAAAGGTAATAAATTTGGAAGATGGGACATTTTATATAAGGGAGATTAGATGTAATAATTTTTTCATCATGTTTTAGTGGTGGAGGATCTTATGATGAAGGAGGCTAAGGAATTAAAATCGGGGAGTGGATTGAATTAAATGATGGATATGATAATTGGAAATAAATATCTTATAGTGGATAATATAAAAATGGAAAAAAAGTTGGTAGATGGGATACCTATTGGAATTGGGATGGAGAGAATAAATAGATGTAATGTCTAGTATATCCAATTATAGTGGTGGTGGGTTATATGATGAAGAAAGAGTGGGGATTAAGATTGGTAGATGGGTAGAATTGAGTCAAGGATTTAGAAATAATTCACAAGTCACTTACAATGGGGAGTATAAAAATGGGAATAAAATAGGAAGATGGGATATTATGTGGAAATAGGAAGATGAGAATGAGTTTAAATTGATGTAAGATTTTGCAAATAAAATATTTAAGTGGAGGTGGCCTTTATGATGAAGTAGAAGATGGAACTAAAATTGGAAATTGGACCGAATTGAGTGAGGGCTTTTGGGCTGAATCTTAGGTGGCTTATGTTGGAGAATATAAAAAAGGTATAAAAATTGGTAGATGGGATATTTTATATCATGGAAAATAGATGTAACTAAAATTTTTATAAATGTTTTAGCGGTGGTGGGCTATTTGATGAAGAAGGAAACGGATTAAAAATTGGAAAATGGGTGGATATAAGTGAGGGTTATCAGTACGCTTCAAATATCATTTATATTGGTGAGTATAAAAATGGAAAAAAAGTTGGTAGATGGGATGTTTTTGATGAAGATGAATAAATGTAAAATAATATGTACGATAGTTTAGAGGAGGGGGATCATATGATGAGAAAGGTGAGGGTATGAAGTTTGGAAAATGGATTGAGCCGTGGGAAAAGTTTGATTGGTATAATTCAATAGTTTATAATGGTGAATATTTAAATGGCAAAAAAGTTGGTTTATGGGTGCAATAGGGTAAAAGTAATGGAGAGGAAATTTATAAAGAAATCAGATATGATAATTGAATATTACAATAATTATTAATGTAATTTTTTCTTTGCTAAGTTTTGTTGACTTTATTTGATATTTTAGTTATAATGATGTATATTAATATAACTAATCAACTAAACACTTATAATTAGATGAAGTGGAATAAATACATTTTTTCTGTCATTTTATTGTTATTCAACTTTGAATTAGTATACAATTAAGCATGTTAGAGAAGAGAGGCAAGATTAAAGTTTATTACTAGGGGAAAGTATAAAAATGTGCTAAACTCTAATATGGGTGCTTTAATCTCATCAAGAGTAATAAATGGATTTTCAGGAGGTAATTATGGAAGCTGTTACCGTGATACTATTTATACTATTACAGGAGGATATGGATTTACAGCAAGTGCTTTAGGTAACTCAATAATTTTCGATTTATAAGAATAATATTAATTAAACACTTTAAAAATATGGTTTTGGGACTAATCCTACAGATTCTATACAATAAAAATTTATCTAATTTATAATGATGTAGAAACAATAATCTATGAAAGCACTTTAGTATAAAGTATAACCACTATTAAGTTTTCTGACTAATCTGTATAAAAATTTAAAATATACAATGAAAATGGAAATACCTAAAATACTGGACTTCATATAATAAAAGCGGAAGCTTATTATAAGCTCCAAACAAATATGTGAAAAAGTTTATATTTAATATTATTTTGAATAATTATTTTAACTAAATAATCTTATTATTAACTTCAAAAGTTATAGTTACATCAAGCTTGTTCATATTAATAACTTGATTTAATCTCTATTTAAAAAGATTATGTATTTTCCAAATTTTTTGATATTGATATTAAATCAATTTTTATTGTTATTGAGACATAATGAATAATTATAATTTCAACTTATTTATGAGTTGAAATAATATAAAGAATATCTTATTATAAAATTTTCAATTATTCTCTTAATTGTAGAAATGGTTTTAACAATTTATTTTTCTTTAGGTATAGCTTGTCATAAGAATAACATTACATTTCTTTTTAATTAGGTTGGTTAAACTTAATAAATGGGTGAATTAGTAGTAAAATTATTAATGAAAAATGATGAAATTATAAATGTTTAATTTATTAAAATATTAATTAATTAAATAACATATATAAATATTGATAAGTCTAGATTAATATTTAAAATTTGAAACTCTTTAAGTTAAAAATTTCATTCTCAGGTAGATATGGTTCAAAATTAATTAATTTTGGAACCCAGTTATATAATCCTTAGGCTTTATTGATAGAATAAATAATTTAGTTGGATATATCTTATCCTCTGATAAAATAGCAATATCAGAAATTCTCACATAAGTATATTAATTATATGGTCAATTATGCTCATGATTTTGCTGTTCTGATAAGGTTTGTCTAAGTTATTGCTCTTCAATTAAGAATTTCGTTCAAATTGCTTAAAAAAAATAGTTTTAATTATCAAAAATTTCCTATTCTTGAAGAGTTATTTTCAAAAATATTAGACAAGATCTAAACGCTTCTTTGTAGCACAGTTTTAAACTTGGCAATCCAATTTCGCCTTATTAAATTTAGTTCAAAGTTTTTCTTCAACTTTAACTTTAGTTGATATCATTCAAGATCATTATTTTTCTAGAATATCTTGAATTGCAAATATTCATTATCAAAGCATAGTTATTTTCGATTTTTTAATTTTCAAATTGAAAAAAACCCCTTATTTAAACCAAAAAGGTAAAAATGTAAAGAAACAAAGGAATGCAACCTTAAACTTCCTTTATTACATTTATTAACTAAGTCCAAAAGGGAATATATTANCGGAAGCTTATTATAAGCTCCAAACAAATATGTGAAAAAGTTTATATTTAATATTATTTTGAATAATTATTTTAACTAAATAATCTTATTATTAACTTCAAAAGTTATAGTTACATCAAGCTTGTTCATATTAATAACTTGATTTAATCTCTATTTAAAAAGATTATGTATTTTCCAAATTTTTTGATATTGATATTAAATCAATTTTTATTGTTATTGAGACATAATGAATAATTATAATTTCAACTTATTTATGAGTTGAAATAATATAAAGAATATCTTATTATAAAATTTTCAATTATTCTCTTAATTGTAGAAATGGTTTTAACAATTTATTTTTCTTTAGGTATAGCTTGTCATAAGAATAACATTACATTTCTTTTTAATTAGGTTGGTTAAACTTAATAAATGGGTGAATTAGTAGTAAAATTATTAATGAAAAATGATGAAATTATAAATGTTTAATTTATTAAAATATTAATTAATTAAATAACATATATAAATATTGATAAGTCTAGATTAATATTTAAAATTTGAAACTCTTTAAGTTAAAAATTTCATTCTCAGGTAGATATGGTTCAAAATTAATTAATTTTGGAACCCAGTTATATAATCCTTAGGCTTTATTGATAGAATAAATAATTTAGTTGGATATATCTTATCCTCTGATAAAATAGCAATATCAGAAATTCTCACATAAGTATATTAATTATATGGTCAATTATGCTCATGATTTTGCTGTTCTGATAAGGTTTGTCTAAGTTATTGCTCTTCAATTAAGAATTTCGTTCAAATTGCTTAAAAAAAATAGTTTTAATTATCAAAAATTTCCTATTCTTGAAGAGTTATTTTCAAAAATATTAGACAAGATCTAAACGCTTCTTTGTAGCACAGTTTTAAACTTGGCAATCCAATTTCGCCTTATTAAATTTAGTTCAAAGTTTTTCTTCAACTTTAACTTTAGTTGATATCATTCAAGATCATTATTTTTCTAGAATATCTTGAATTGCAAATATTCATTATCAAAGCATAGTTATTTTCGATTTTTTAATTTTCAAATTGAAAAAAACCCCTTATTTAAACCAAAAAGGTAAAAATGTAAAGAAACAAAGGAATGCAACCTTAAACTTCCTTTATTACATTTATTAACTAAGTCCAAAAGGGAATATATTATAGTTGATCAATAAGAAACAACTTAAATAATAATATTACATCTGTAACTTTTTCTAAATTATCTCTTCTATTTGGATTTTTTTTTAGCTGTAGCCTCTATTATTTCTTATAAAATTAATTTGTTTAGATTAAGAAATATGATTAGGATACTATTTTGATTTAATTTAGTTTTTATTTAATATCAATACCACCCTTTTTTAAAAAAAAGACTTAATGAGCGCAATTTTTTGTCAGGAATTTCTGAAGCTGCGGTTTGATAAATAGACTAGTTAAGTTGAGTTGCTTAACTTATACGAACGATGTTTGTGAAATCTTGCAATAAATACTATTTTAGCTACATCCTCTTCCACTTCTAAAATAGCAGTGAAGCTTTGGTTGTAAACCAGTCCATAAAAAATACATAATTTTGATATTAATTATATAAAAACTCTTAAAAATTGTTTTAAATGTTTATAAAATATATTTTAGAATCTAATAAATTTTGGTATATTTCCATTTAATGCACTTCTAAAAGGCAGAAGATCATATAATTGTTGTTTCTGTTATTAATTGATTTTCTACAATCAAATAAAATTGATTAATTATAGATCCTATTTCATCAAAAAGATGCTTACATAAGATAAATGTAATTGTTTATCCTTCTCAATATATGGATTATAAGCATTTATGTTATTATATTGATATTTTAATTTATATTATTTGTGTAGTGTAACTTATTTTTATAAAACTTTTTTATTTCTTATTGAGGATGGTAATTTTAGTTCTAAAGAAGAATTACTCATACATTCTAGATTTTTTTCAAATTATTAGTATAGTAGTTTTAATGTTTAAAATTGGAAATTTCGAAATACTTAGTATCAAATCATAAATTTAAAGAGGGTAATGGTTTATGGTGTGAAACTTAATTAATGTTTCTCTCCATTTCAATTCAATATTTAGTCTTAATATAAGATATAATAAATCTCTTTCTTCTAATTTCATCCACATTTATTTTGTGATATACTACGTAATTAATTCCTTCATAAATGAAGGCAGAAATTAAGATTGTTTAAGGAAAAAAAACAAAGTATTATTAGCATCTAGATCATAAATTCTTCTCGAAGGAGCATTTTTTTCTGACCCAGATTAGATGAAGTTGATCTTTTCTTTTTTTAAGATAATATAAGAAGATTTTTGGAAAATTATTTCTTTAGTTTAAGTATCCTTAAAGATTCTATATTAGAATATTCAGAATTCGAAGAGTCTAAAACTATATCCGAAACAGGCTGCGAAGTATTGGCCTTTCAGCGATTGCCTTATTACATCTTTATTCCTAAGTAAAACCTTACCAGAAAAGACAAACTCACTTGTTTCTTTTAATTAGCTTTGTCCTTAACAAATAAAGACATCTGCCAAAGTAGAATTCTGTTCAATCAGATCTTAATTAAATCATACTTTAATAACTTTATGAGTTAATTTCATTTTAGCATACATCAATATCATTCCATGTTCATGATATGATAAAAAATTTAAACTTCACAATACACTATTCATACAGCAAAATCTCTTGATATTACAAGATATCTTTTTTAATATCAATTTTTTATCATGATATTCTACATATTATCATTTTTAAAAAAGATATAAAAATGCACTTTTAAAAGCGCTAGCATTGCTTAAGTATACTCTCCTATATATTAATATAGAATATATATTATTAATTAGGTAAGAATTGAGACAACCATCAATCAAACCTTCATCACCTTGCAAAAACATTAACAATTTCATGATATTTTTCCATCCATTCCTGCCTTCATATTTTGTTTTGCTTTTTGAACTCATTTCTTATTAATAATTAAAGCTACTTAAACTTATTGAAAACAAAAAATAATGCTTTTTTTAATTAGAAATTAAATTAAGAGTTTTGTAAAATATTAATTAATCTTTCTTGAATTAATATTAATTCGAATAATAAAAATAAATTTTTCATTCTTATCCATTTTTATGTTCTAATCATATAATCTCAAAATTAATTACACTACATTATAGAATCTTCTTTAATAAAAATAATAGGTTATTTTCTTTAAATAATAAAGAATTATGGTCATTCTATTCAAAATCTGAAATATAATAAATTTATATAATTCTATCATAATAATGTTCTTTATATTAATCAATTTTGCTTTTACTAAAAACCTATTTGACCGTCCAAAACGCAACCTCCTCTTTATTAAAATAGATTTTTTAAATCAATGCCAATATGATTTATAAATTCTCCTTAATAAATTAATGCTCCTTTTGCTTAAAATTTAGGAAGCTGTTCAGATATAATAAGAATGATTACGTTAGTATTGGCTAAATAAAAATAAGTAATTACCATTATCCTCATAGAATTTATTTAAAATGTGGGTTTCAAGAATATCTTAAGTGTTATGTTATGATACTAAATGTTATTATTCTCTCTGGACATCCCATATATAGATAGATTTATCTGCATAACCAGATGCTAATGTCGCACCATCAGGAGAAAAGGATACTGACAAGACACATCCCTGACCATCTAATTTAGATTGTTGTTGCCCTGTCTAAACATTCCATAAACGGATAGTCTAATCTCCACTACCAGAAGCTAATATAGAACCATCAGGAGAGAAACATACTGATTAAACCAATTCACTATGACCTTCTAATTTTTATTACTGTTGTCCTGTTTTGACATCCCATAAGTGGATAGAATTATCATAACTGCCTGAAGCTAACAAAGAACCATCAGGAGAGAAGCATACTGATTAAACCCCTTAACTATGACCTTCTAATTTTTATTACTGTTATCCTGTTTTGACATCCCATAAGCGGATAGAATTATCATAACTGCCTGAAGCTAACAAAGATCCATCAGGAGAGAAGCATACTTACTAAACAAAACCGCTATGACCCTCTAATTTATACAATCGTTTTTCTGTTTGAACATCCCATAAAGTTATGGACTTATCCCAACTTCCAGATGCTAATATATTACCATCAGGAGAGAAACATACTGAATGGACATTACTATTATGACCTTCTAATCTAGACTTTAGCTATCCTTTCTTAACATCCCATAAAAAGATCAATTTATCTTAACTTCCAGATGCTATTGTTGTACCATCAGGAGAGAAGCAAACTGATGAAACAGAATTTTTATGGCCTTCTAATTTAGAAATTTGTTTTCCTGTTTTGACATCCCATAAACGGATAGATTTATCTCCGCTACAAGATGCTAATGTGCTTCCATCAGGGGAGAAGCATATTGATGAAACCCAATTAGTATGACCTTCTAATTTAGATTTTTATTATCCTGTCTAAATTTCCCATAAACGAATTGAGTTATCATCACTACATGATGCTAATGTAGTACCATCTGGAGAAAAGCATACCATGCGTACATAACTACTATGACCTTCTAATTTAGATTTTAGCATTCCTGTTTATAAATCCCAAATAATGATACAGCAATCTCCACCTCCAGATGCTAAGGTACTTCCATCGGGAGAAAAGCATACTGATTTCACATCATCATTATGACCTTCTAATTTGAGTTTTTGCAAGCCTGTCTTAATATCCCATAAGCAAATAGAGTAATCTCTACTACCAGATGCTATTGTGTTACCATCAGGAGAGAAACGTATGGAATAAATAGTACTGCAATGACCTACTAATTACGATTTTTGAAGTCCTGTTTAAACATCCCAAAGAAAAATTATACATTCTGCACCACAAGATGCCAAAGTATTACTATCTGGAGAAAAGCATACTGATATTACTCCAATACTATGTCCTTTTATACTAGCTTTTTTTAAACCTGTCTTAACATCCCATAGACAGATAAAATTATCTCCACTTCCAGATGCTAATGTGTTCCCATCAGGAGAGAAACATATTGCATAAACCTCTTCATTATGACCATCTAATTGATGTAATTCATTTATTTTTAAATTATTCCATTTACAACCAATTAATAACACCTTATTTAAATTAATTCCACTTATATCCACATTTTCAAATACTGATCCACTTAAATTACATTTTACAAAATTTGCTCCAACTAATGAAGTATGTTGAATCTTTATGTTTTTAAAACATTGTTTTGAAAAATCAGCCTTCATTTCCACTAATAAATTAAGCGAATTTGATCCACATTAAATAAATTGGTTGTCTATTCCAGTGAGACGAACTAGAAATTTTAAAAATTCAAGAATGGCCTTTTCATTGGATACTTTAATGATTAGATTTGTTCTAGCTACTTTATGTTCTTCTGTTGAATAATTTAGTTTATAAAAGTCATGTTCGCAAATATTTTTGATAACGTTTGCAATATACTTAAAGTTATTTAATAAAGTATTATTAGGTTATACATTTTCATTTTAACAAATGTATTATTCAAATTCTTCTAGATCCCAATCTTTTGAAAGAAACTTTAGACAATCTTAAATTTTTTCTTTTCTTAAAATTTCTAATAAGATATCCAAAATTTGTCCATCAATATTTCTTGATAAAGCTAAAACCTCATATAAATCTGTTTTCTATTCAGAATTGACATTCATTTTCTAAATTTAATTAATAATTATCTATTTTTTCTCCCCTCTTTAAGGCTTTATATCAGAATTTAAAAATGTATCTTTAGTATAAATGATAAGTAAAAGACCAAACCTTGTAATATTAAGAATTGATTCTAATAAGGGCAAAAAAAGTTATTGGGAAGTTATATAAATTTTAGTAAAACATTTTTCTTGAAATATATGGAATAAATTAGGCTAATTTGAAAAAATCTAATATCATTATTGAGAAAGGAAAATTTTAGAAAATGTAAACTCTAATTTATCTCCACATACATATCTTTTTTAAACAGACTCTTTATTGACTTATAGCTTAACTTTCTTTTATGTTTATATGGAAATTCAATTTGTTTTAAACTTATTATGTCAACTCTAACTGTTATCAATATAAAGAATTAGATCTAAATTTGGGATCTAAATTTTAGTATAAAAAACTTCATTCTATGATATTGTGTTCAAATTCCTATCATTTAATTTAAAAAATAGCTATTTAAGTTAATATCATTTTTTACTAACTAAGAATTTTTTTATAAAGGTTTTTATATTTAACTGAAATACTTAAAAAATACACTTATATTTCGACCAAAAAAAACTGCTTAAACATCCCCATTATTATAAAAACTGTGTTTTTTTAATAATAAAATTCTCCCAAAATACCATATCTTGGAAATTTAAATAAATGGATATTAATTTCAATTCTATTAGAAAAATTGACTATAAATGCAAGATTCATCGGTTTTTTAACTAAAATATAATTCATTCTTAATATTAGAGGGACGAATAGATACTATAGGATTTTGATTATAATTTGGAGAAAGGAACAATATTTTCTATTTGCATACAACTTCAAAGTTATATATTAAATATATATGTTGAATCTCTACAAAATACTTATTTTTGAACATTTTTTATAGTATAAAAAATTTTGGATTATAATAACAATTTCACAGATTAGTTTTATAATAAAATTTAAGATGAAAATTAATTTAATTTAATATAATAAAAAAATTATCGATTTGGATGAATTATCATAAAAAAAACAAAATAAACTAGTATTAATATAGTAAGGAGGAATTTTAAATGATTGGAATACTTGAAAAAAAGAATGGTTATACAAATAATTTTGCAAAAGGTTAAGGATTTGTTACAAAAAAAGTAAAATTGATAACTATTGTAGCAGTAGATCATCTTATTTTAGTTTATTTCTATTGATATTAAAATTGAAGAGTAAAAATGGATTTTCCTGATTTATATCTATTTGATGATGTTTTTATTCTTTACATACTGAGGATTGAATTTTTTATAATAATTACTAAATATATACAGTTATTCTTTCCTTGATTGCTTGTGCATTAGTCTTTAATAACTATTCCTCTTTTTATCTTGAATTAATTGTCTAGCAAATTTCTTCACTTCTCAGTTTTCCTTCATAAAAGATAATGGACTNCTAATTTGAAAAAATCTAATATCATTATTGAGAAAGGAAAATTTTAGAAAATGTAAACTCTAATTTATCTCCACATACATATCTTTTTTAAACAGACTCTTTATTGACTTATAGCTTAACTTTCTTTTATGTTTATATGGAAATTCAATTTGTTTTAAACTTATTATGTCAACTCTAACTGTTATCAATATAAAGAATTAGATCTAAATTTGGGATCTAAATTTTAGTATAAAAAACTTCATTCTATGATATTGTGTTCAAATTCCTATCATTTAATTTAAAAAATAGCTATTTAAGTTAATATCATTTTTTACTAACTAAGAATTTTTTTATAAAGGTTTTTATATTTAACTGAAATACTTAAAAAATACACTTATATTTCGACCAAAAAAAACTGCTTAAACATCCCCATTATTATAAAAACTGTGTTTTTTTAATAATAAAATTCTCCCAAAATACCATATCTTGGAAATTTAAATAAATGGATATTAATTTCAATTCTATTAGAAAAATTGACTATAAATGCAAGATTCATCGGTTTTTTAACTAAAATATAATTCATTCTTAATATTAGAGGGACGAATAGATACTATAGGATTTTGATTATAATTTGGAGAAAGGAACAATATTTTCTATTTGCATACAACTTCAAAGTTATATATTAAATATATATGTTGAATCTCTACAAAATACTTATTTTTGAACATTTTTTATAGTATAAAAAATTTTGGATTATAATAACAATTTCACAGATTAGTTTTATAATAAAATTTAAGATGAAAATTAATTTAATTTAATATAATAAAAAAATTATCGATTTGGATGAATTATCATAAAAAAAACAAAATAAACTAGTATTAATATAGTAAGGAGGAATTTTAAATGATTGGAATACTTGAAAAAAAGAATGGTTATACAAATAATTTTGCAAAAGGTTAAGGATTTGTTACAAAAAAAGTAAAATTGATAACTATTGTAGCAGTAGATCATCTTATTTTAGTTTATTTCTATTGATATTAAAATTGAAGAGTAAAAATGGATTTTCCTGATTTATATCTATTTGATGATGTTTTTATTCTTTACATACTGAGGATTGAATTTTTTATAATAATTACTAAATATATACAGTTATTCTTTCCTTGATTGCTTGTGCATTAGTCTTTAATAACTATTCCTCTTTTTATCTTGAATTAATTGTCTAGCAAATTTCTTCACTTCTCAGTTTTCCTTCATAAAAGATAATGGACTCTCATATGATTATTTGAAGTTATTCATTTTCTAATTTTATTTTTTTTCAATTAGGCGGTGTTTAAATATTCCTAATTTATTTTTGTGACTTGTTCTTAAATGAATTTTAGTTTCCTATTATCCAAATATGTACTTTCTCTTTTATCAATGCACTTATCCCTCATAATCAGTTTTCTCAATGAGCAACAATGAATAAACAAGTAATATCCTTAAAATCTTGTTAAAACAGAATTTTAATATGATTATTTACTACTTTGCTAAGATGAAAAGAATAAATTTTAATTTATGTCCCTTTTCAAATTTTATTAGATAATTTAATTAAAAGATAGAAAGACTGTTCATTATCAACTGTCACAAATAATTTTAAAGCCAATTTAATTGATTATTAATTATTGAATATATCTGCCCAATTAAATTAATTTCAAGAATAATCTCATTTTCTGCAATTTTTTTGACATAATTAAATTATATTTTTAAGTGCAAAAATTGAAATAAAAATAAAATAAATAATCATCGCTATAAATTAATGAAGTATAGTAAAAAAGAAAAATGAGAAAACAAAAAATTAAAAATATAAGCATTCTCCAAATATTAACATAAATTCTGCATTTCGCAACTTAATTTAAACTTTGATAATCCAATACTTTTTATAAAATGATATTAAAGAAAACGTCTACTATCAGAATAATTAACATAATGAAAATCAGCTAATCATTAATTCTGTTTGTGGGAAAATTGTAGATTAACTTAGATTAAGGTATATTGTTGATATTTCTATTCTTATTAATCTAAGAATTATAAATATAGAACACTCTATGATTTCTTTATTTCTATATCTATTAAATTTCATGCTTTAAAACTTAGATCAGATGGGTTTGTTTTTTTAATTTAAATTAAATGAACAAAATTGTACATAATGTATATCATAATAATAGGTTAACAATTAAAAATAATATGAATATTCAAAAATATATTTAATAAAATGAATTAACAATAATATTTATGAGATTTGAATATTATTTATTAAGCCAATCATTACAAGTTCAAGCATTAAAAATGCAATTTTGTTAATTTCCATATTTTTGTTAATCTATTTGAGATGCACAAGTTTATGCTAAATAGATAAGAACTTTTTCTAATTTGATATGCAATGGAATCTATTGAGATGGGTTCCTCCAGTCATCAATACACGAACCCTTCTCAGCCATTCTGGCTATAGCTTCCATAAACTCTAAAAAATTCATAGAAAAGATCTTGTCGCTTTCTAATTCATTTACTTATGTCATAATTGATTAATTAAATGCCTATTATTATTAATTTTCTTACCAAATTTTGTTCTTTTTATTCGTGTTTTAATAAATCTGCCGTACAGCAAATTTACTGGAATTTATCAAGACTCATAAATTTCTTTTATCCTAATTTGGTTATTTTAATGCTGTATTTATTATAAATATTCTATAGCAAAGGTTTGTAATGGTTCAAACATTTATCACATTATTGATTGAAGTATCTCTCATTTCTCCATTTTTGTACATCATATTTTTACATGATAGGTCTACATTGATCTAAAAGCATTTATACAGATTCATATATATTATTCGATAATTTTTTTTCCAAGTATTTGTCAATTGAAATTCTCACTAAGAGTTCCATAAATTAATATCTAAGCAATGCTCTTTCGGGTTTTTTATAATTTCTTTTATTTTCAAATGAAGCAGCACAAGTTGCAATAAATTTGATATCTAAATCTGAAAGTTTAAATGTTTTATCAATCAATCCTGTTTCATAAGCAAAATCTGCAATTACATTATTTGGAATAGACCAAACATCACCATATGGAGAATATGAAGAATATTATTTATATGTTTCTTTGATCATTTTATAATTTTTCCATATTAAATTTCCAACATCTTTGACTACATCCTGATTTGTTATAATATCTGATATTTTACTGTAACTCCAATCATATTCAAAGCATTTCCTTAAGAGATCTTCATTCTCAAACTCAAAATCTTTAAACCAGATTGAAATTGAAAATGACCAAATTTCAATTTGGTTCTATAATTCAGGTGGGTCTTGAATTATATTCTAAGCATTTAGATAATCTGAAGTAAGTGATTTCACTTATTTTTTATTCATTAAACTAAAATGTTACGGTTACTTTAAAACATCATTATCATCAAAATCTTCATTTTAATAACGCCATTTTCCATCAATATTAACATATGAACCACCGAAACTAATAATTGTCACAATCTTTTTACATCAACTGAATAGGATAACAAAAAGTTTTCTTCCAATAGTATTTCCATATTCCAATTCTTTGGCCTCTATTATATTCCCCTTTGAATAATACTTCACATTATTCACTAAAATATCAATATTTTTAGTTACTCTTTTATGCATTCAACCCATAACCCTCTTTTATCTCCATAATAATAATTTATAGGAATTTCTCTACTTGTTAAACCAAGTTCCTCAAAGTTATTCTACTATTATGGATCATTCCTAAATAAAATTCATAATTTACTCAAACCATTTCCCGTATAAATATGTATTTGACCATGGAAAATAAACATCCACTTTGGAATATGGTTTTTTCTACTGAGGTTTTGAAATTTCCCTATTCAATTTTCTTCCAAAAGAATAACCCTTTTATTTTCCAATACACTTTTGTAAATCATAAGCACCTACTCCAGGAACATCAAAATTATAATTAGTTTGTTATCTACTAGATGTGGGAAACCTTTTTAAATGAATGATAATTTAACCTAAAAGCATTGACATACTAAATTAAGTTTGAATTTGTATTATAGGCACCTGGAGGTGGTGTTTAAAATTTCTATATAACTTTATATTTTTATTAACTTCCAAATCTTTGGTTAAATTTAATATATACGAATAACATGGAGTGGATCGTATTTACTAGAGAGAACTATATGCTCCGGGTCCAGGAATTTTAAAATAGTCAAACTCATCCAAAAATGTATTTTTAGATTATGACATATGATATAAATTTAATTTATTATTTATTAATGAAATTTATTATTATTTTTGATTAAAAATAATTGTGAAAGTTTTAGATATTTATAAATTACCAACAATTCTTAAATCAAATAAATCCAAAAGAAAATTAAGATGATCGTAATTAAAAATATTTTTTGTCTCTAGCCTCTATCAATTTCCCTTCTTTATTTTCAACTACTGACATTATATAGTTTAATTCTTCTATGATAAACAACAATATTGTAATTAGTTAATTTCTAAAATAAAAATCATATAATTGATTCTTGATGAAAAATAACATATTAAATTTTATATAATTGGTTCACTCCAATTAATAAAATTGGCTTACTTCAATTAAAATATATTTTATGAAATCTATCTACCCAAGTAAAACAATTTATATACTACTATTTATTATTAAGTCAGTTATTCTGCTTTCATTTTTAGAAGATTTTTAATTATTTTATGATAAATTTTATTAAATCACCTAGATATCTCATTAATTTCTAATTTTCAAATTTAACATAATATAATATAATTTATTTAACCCAATAAGTAATTTATTTTTTTATAAAAAGATTTTTTCTAACCTTACCTTTTAAGTTTTTCTAAGATACTCCAAAAATTTCGACTAAAATGAAAACTTATTTTGAACAGATTATTTATATTTACTAAGTTTCCTTAATTTAAATTTTTAATTAAAATTTTAAATTATATATATATATAGATTTAAAAAATGAAAAAAGAGATGCTCATATAAAAATACTAATATAAATATTATATTCAATAAAATCTAATATTATTAAAATAGTATACTTATTAAAATAAGATCTTCAAAAAATCTTAAAGAAATAAAGATAGTAAAATATGGCATAAGAGATTCATTAAGGAAACATCCATATCTAAAGTAAAAGTTGAATAGTAATTTGAATGAATCATCTGTTTAAAGCAATAGTGTCTCTAAGCTCAAATTAAAAAAAATCTACTTTTGATAACAAATAATTTGTTGAATATATAAAATAAACAAAGAAGTTTAAATATTTTTTCATCAATTAAAACAATCTTTGAAAAATTTTATTTAGATTTAAGTAAAATAATTGAAAAAGATTGAGAATATTAAATTAATAATTAAAAATAGAGAGAGATATCTTAAACAAATTAAATTATAAAATATTTATAGATCTCCCTTAAAAAGATATTTTTAAAATATATATCAAATATTTATTATTACTAAAGATTTCAAAATTAATAAATTTGAATATGAATACTAAACTATAAACATATGTTATTCAATTATAAATATTTTCTCTTCGCGCCTATTATTTAGTTAAACAAAATTTAACTCTTTTTGCAGAAGAGTATATGTTTTATTGTAATTTTTTAGGAGTTGAATCTATTAGATTTAAACTAGAAAAGCATGGTCTGCCTTAAAATTTAATTTTGTTAACAATATCTAAAACTGAATTCTAATATGAGGGATTCTTTAATATACTTTTAGGTGTGGATACAGAACTCAAAGATCTTCCTCTGAAACCCTCTTAATCAATTTAAAGCAAAGATAATTGTGATGATCTTTATGAATGAACATGTTGCTGAGTTTTTAATTTTATTCTTTAATGATTATGTTTTTAATTAATAGTTGATTTTTTACATTATTGTTATTCAAATTTATTATCTTAATATTAAATAGAACCTTAAGAAGCAACTTGCATAGTATAATTGAAAGACAAATCTAAATTGGATTCATGTTCTGGAGATCTCTAAGATAGTTTTGATTAATTCTTTGCTGATAGTCTATTTATTGGAGAAGGAGAAAGCCCATTTCTTAGTTTTCTTATATCAAAAGTACTCTGACTTTGAGTTTTCAAATCTATTCTTAGATCTAATGTTGCATCTTAATTGATGCTATCTTTCATTTCTCTAATAAAATTAATTTTTGGAACTGTATCCATTAATGTCATTTGATCAGTACATGATAATTATATAGCCTATTATCTTTGTTTAAGAGTTGCTTGTAACTAATTTGAATCGTTTTAAGTTTATTTCTCAATATTGAGACATTCCTATTATTTTTAAGCTAACTTTCGATGTCTTCTAATATCAGTTTTAAAATTGCATTTATTAAGTGTTAATTAGTTCATCTTTTGATTCAAGTCTTAGACATCAAGTTCACTTAATTATTTGTCTTACATTCTCATCCGTATATCATCTTTAAAATGTGCTTTTAGACTATAAACAGAAACAGGATGCTCAACTTCATCATCAAAGATATCAGAATCATGATTATATGGCTCTATCATTATTATAATTAATAATATCATTTTAATTACTATTATAGTAGCCAATTGATATTGAAGAAAAGTTTATTGCGTATCATTTTATTTTAAGAAATAAGTTATTATCTAACACTACTATATAAAATCATAAGGATATATCATTAAAGTTGATTAAATATAAAGTAATAATCATTTTATATATAAATAATTGTTTGAACTAATTATTATAATTATTTATATTATAATCATACAAATATGATATTTACAAAAATTAATCATATAATTCTATTAAAACATCAACCAAATTTAGGTTATGGAACAGATATGATGTTGTCATCTTCTTTAAATGAAAAAATATGATCAATATTTGTCTTACTTTGGAAAGGTGAACAAGGATTATTTGATGAACTAATTTGTGTATTTGTACTTTATGTTAAAGAACTCTTCTAACTATCAGCCAAACACTTTTTAACAGATCCACTTAAATAATAAATGGAATATTACTTAACATCAATAATTTTAATTGCAAGGTTTTTGGATAATGTCTTATTTTTCAATTGCTGATTCTCATATTTATTGAAAATATTGTATAATTTCATTTACTTTTTAATCCATTTACTCATAAATAGTTATTATATAGTTGGTCTTTATTGAGGATCTTTAGTCAATAAGGCTAAAATTAAAATTTATAAGTCTTCATCGATTCCTTTATTTACATTAATTTCCTTTGTTGTTATTAATTAGATCAATTCAGATTATGATTATGCTCTAAAAGGATAATTAGTATGAACTAATATCTATTAATAAATGATTTTAAATCATACATATAACAAAACTCCTAATGACCAAGAATCCACTTTGAAATCATGATTTTCTTTGAGAACAACTTCAGGAGGCATATATTCAGTTGTACCACAAATAGCTGGTTCAATTTTATCTATGTATGTTGCCCATCCAAAGTCTCCTAATTTATAAGTTCCTTCTTCATTTATAAAGATATTTTCCAACTATAATAGATAGATAACTTAACAAATTAATACCTTTAAATCTCTATGAACAATACTATTAGAGTGTAAACAATCTAGTGCACTCATTAGAGAATGTGTTATGTTGAAAATTTCCTTTTCTTAATAAGGAATTTTGGGTTGTTTCAATGTTCCTCTAGAACAAAATTCAGAAATGATATAAATATAATAGTTATCTTCAAAAGAATTCACTACCTTTACAATATTTCTATGATTAATGGTTGACTGAATATAAATTTCTTATCGAATCATCTTTTCAGCATTATATTTTTAGAGCAGGGCCTTTGAAATCTAGAAATATCATTTATAGTTAACTATTTTGCAAGCATAATGTTTATTCATTGATAGATCAGTCACCTAATAAACAGTACCAAATGAACCACTACCAAGTTGATTTTTAATTTAGTATTGGGTGCCATCATTTGCTATTAAAATACTATTCATTAAATAATTTATATTTTAAAATGAATCTAATTAAAATTATAAGTTTCCTTTCAATAGAGAATATAAAGTAAAATTACATAATCATTTTTTCCTTTTATAAACTAATCCTTAAAATTCATAGGGTCTTTTTTCTAAAGATATTGGTTTTTTTGTTCCAAAAAAAGGTGTCACAAAAGACTCTCCAAATTTAACTACATTAGATCCACTTATTTTTCCTTCATTTTTTTCAAATTCTTAAATTAATAATTAAAATTTACATAGCTAATGCTTTTTTAATGTAGGTAACTTAGTTCGACGTCCTTAATAATTTTCTTTATTAATAAAACAATTTTTTGGTGGTTCAGAATATTATTACTGTTAAATTTGAAAATTTCCAATAGGAATTTATTCAGACTCTAAATGATCCATATCACATGATTAAAGTAAGTCTATTTAGCTTTATATTTTCTTAAAAACTAATTAATTAAATTTTCTATACAGTTGATATAATACGACTTCTTCTTTTTTAATAGTTTCTTGGTTCAGTACTTTGTCTTCTCTAATCTGTTTCTAAACTTTCAAATGCTGTTGAATCTGTTTATATTGAATTATATTATATGGATCTTTTTGGTTTGATATAATTATTGTTATTAATTGCAACTTTATTTTAACATTAGGATTGAGTTTGTCTAATTTCTCTAGATTTTGAAACAACTTAAAATTATCTGTTAATACGATAGTCTATAGTACATTTTAACTGAGAATCCTAAACTCTTTTTTGGAAATTAATCATAATAATAATAATTTATAGCTTTTTGAAATAATTGCATTTCGGTTTCATTATAAATATTAGGACATCTAAGAACTAAGAAGGAAATAAAAATCCGAAATGTACAGATGATTGCTCAATATATATCATGATCCAAATTATTATTATTAATTGAAACATTTTGTTAAGCTTGAATTAATAATATTGTGAGATTATTGTTAATTAATTTTTATTGTTTGCATTCTTCTGTAAGGTCTTTTATTAAATTTGATTGTTGCTTGTCTTTGTTTTCTGCATCTACTCTAACTTTTTCTAATCTCTTATTTTATTTTAAGAAAGCCTACTTAAGCAATTTATTTTCATCAAGTAACTTTTGAGTCTAAAAATATTAATATATGAATACATTTTATTAGAATTTTTCTCCTAATTTCTATTCAAAAGCATCAAAACAGAGTTGAATATTCTATTATGCTGTTTAAATGTTTTGGGATTATTGAAGTCTCTTCAATAATTCTTCTTTTAAACAAATTTTATAGTTGTCAAACTATATTTAATAATTTAAATTATACATCTGTATTATCGATGTCAATTTTTTGAGGGGTTGCCATTTTTTATCCTAGGATTTCAAATACCATCTCAACATTATTATCAAAGTCTTCTAATAATCTATTAATTTCAGATTATTATATTTAAGGGTATTTCTCTTAAATTATTGCCAAATTTTATCTATAAATTTAATAAAAATTATATACTATGTTAATCTTCTTCGCGCTTAACTTAAAGTTTCTATATTTCGATCTTAATTTATACGCCTTCTTAAAGCAAAAGTTGGATTCAATGACTTTATTTAATTATAAACATATTACTTCATTTGGCTCATCTTCAAAATATTTTCTTTTACCAACTAACATTTAATTATAATAATAATATTAATAATTTGATTTAAATATTTTATATATTTCACTAAAATACAGATCCAAAAATTTAAATATTTATTATGTAATTTTCAAAAACTAATCCTAATGAATTTATCTCATCAGATTATGATAGAACTAATTAAATTGATGATTACACACTCTTTAACAATGTTTGTTACAAGTCTTCCCAAGCATAAATACCAACTGAAACATAAATCTAAATTAAAAATGTCAATTTATGTTAATCCTAAGACTTATGCTTAAAAACTACCAGAGATAGTATTCAATTAGAATTACAAATTCAATAGTAATCGATTAATTGAATTACATCATCAAGATACTTAAGACTGTAAAGTGTGAATCCGAAGTCCAATAAAAGATTTTCAATAATGCCAATAAACAATTTTTGATACTCTTGAAAGGATTGTAAATTATAGATGAACTCTTATCTAATTGTAAAGAATCATCAACAAAGATACTTTTAGAATTAAAATAAAGTATCATTTCCATTTATTTAGATTATGTTTAAGAGAGATCAATTAAAGCACTTATAGCAGATGATGTAAATATAAGAATGTTACAAATGCCCTATAATTATTTATAGACAAATTTCTTACCTAATATGCACTAACAATTTAAATCACATGAATAAAATATGTGTGCTACTCAAACTTTAACTTAAGAAATCAAGATTGTTGGAACTCAAATTCTAATGATAAACTTAATTATGCCTTCTGCTATTGATACAGATTAAAATGACATCATGTCATTAAATAGTACTCATCCAGTTTGGAAGAAATTAGATTGCATCATAACAAGAAAAGTATAATTCCTAATTATTTAAAAAGTCTTTAGGAGACCCTGAATAAATTAGACAATCTTTTGAATCATTTGTATAATCTGTTATGGTTGGTCATGCTTTAGTTAATGATTGTAAGAAGAATTCAAGTAGATGGGGTAAAATATTTTCAGTCAGTCTGAATTCTCTATATTATTTTTTATCAAGTTCTGCTGCAGAAAAAGGAATGAAAGATCATATGAGTTAATTAAGGGCTGATACTGCACACTAGGCTATGAATTTTATTGAATTACCAGGAGTCAAACATTTAATTAATTTGGGATTACCTAAAATTGCTACAAACTTAAAATTTTATATATTGCCAGTTGTTTTGCCACTCACAATTCAAGAAGCCAACAAATAAATTAAATAAGGTATTTATGATCAAATCTCTACTCATCCAATTGAATATGTAAATCAAGAAATCCACAGAGATGACAAATTCTTATTTGTTAAAAATCAAGCTAGAATTAGAATTAGATTATTGTACAACTAACGTGTGATGGAAAAGGATAATATTTTTAGTTTTCTAAAATCATTCTTCATAAAACAAAACAATACTTTTGAAGATAAGATTATCATTCATATTCATGGAGGTGGTTTTATCTCATAATCTTCATCAAGTCATTAATGTTATACTAGAGATTGGGCTATCAATTTAAATGTTCCCATCTTTTCTATTGATTATAGTCTATCTCCATAATATCCTTATCCAATACCTTTAGATGATTGTTGGCAAGCTTATAATTGGATAATAAAATATTCTGAAAAAACATTTGGTATAATTCCCAATAAGATTATTGTTACTGGTGATAGTGCTGGTGGTAATTTAGCTACTGCTTTAGTTGGTTTAATAATTAAATATAAATTATAAATTCCAAATGGATTGATTTTGAATTATCCTGCTATTGATATACGATTTTAATACACTCCTAGTTATTTGAATTCTATGAATGATAAAATTCTAAGTCATACTATTTTAGGAATTTGTATTGAATCTTATTCAGCTCATCCAGATTCATAATTGGGAATTGATTCATTTATGAGTCCTTTGTTGTTGTCATATGATATTTTAAAATATTTCCCACCAACTAGACTATTTTGTGGAAATAAAGATCCTTTATATGATTAAGTATTTAGACTAGCATCAAGATTATAGTAATATTATTTATTTAATATTATTTAGAGTAGTATAGAGAGATGTCAAAATAACTATATATGAAAATTTATCACATGGTTATTTAAATTTTAATACTATAAAAGGAATGTCAGAAATTAAATAATGTATATTAGATAGTTAAGATGCCTTTTAGGAATTATTAAATTGAATTTAATGTATTAACAAAATCATTTATTATCATTATTATCATTTTTATTTTATGGATGATTATTCTATTCTTATTCTTATTATTGTTATTATTATTATTATTATTATTATTCTATTTTTTATTTCTTTCTTTCTCTACCCTATTCAATCATCTCTTATTTCTTTTTTTCTCTTTCCTCTTTTTATTTTTCTGGATCTAAAAATTTCTCCCCTTCTATCTATTATTCTTAGAATCCTGCCCATACTAAAGTAAATTTAGTAAATATTTACATGCAAAATGATGAAATATTATTCCTGATGCAACACCAACATTTAGACTAGCAGTTTTTTAAGTGTATTAAGGAATATACACAAAATGATCACAAATAGCTTTATGTTCTGGTATCAACCCTGTACCCTATTTTATTGGTTTTTTTATTTATTTACTTCATTTCCAAGAAAGAAGACTGTATTACCTTTAAAAGGATTTGTGACAATATTTTAAGAGCCTTCACCAATTTCAACACCACAAACAAATATATTGTTTTGTACAAAATAATCTTTTGCTTCTTTTAAATTAGTAAAAAGATGAAAATTCATTTATTCATAAGTTCCATGATTACCAAAAAAAGAAAATCCATCAGCAATTTAAAATTTCTTTTTTGTTTAACCTTGTTTACCAATCATAAAAATTTTATTTAGATTAAATGCTGCGGCATTTCTATTTATCTTTGATAGAATTAATACCTGATAATAGTGCCTATATTTTTAGGTTTTGCTATATTATGAAGAAGTAGATAACCTTCAAACTATTATTGCATAATTTTATATTTATTTTTTTTAATAATATATTATTCAAAATGCAGAATCATCTTTTAAGATCTGCTTTTTAATGTCTTGCAATGATTTCAAATTATCAAATACTCTGTCTTCAAATATAGCTGTGAATTCATGCTCAATTGAAGTAATCAAAGCTATTCTTTCAAGACTATCCAAACCTAGATCTTTAATTAAATCTCCTTCCCAATTGACAGATTTTACATCTATTTTCTCAAAGGATTTCAAGACTTTCAAGAATCTTACATCGACCTAGATAATGTAAAGATATATTCTATTACTTCATTTTCTTCCATATAGAGTCCTGCCTCTTCAGTTGGAGATGGTAATGGTCTGACAGATGACTTAATACTATCAATGCTTGTTCTGTTAAATTTCTTAAATTAATCTTGAGTATCAAATCTTGTCTATAAATTGAATAATAATACATATGATTAATGCAGAATTATGGTCTAATAAATAGGGACCTTGATAATAATTTTCTAATCATTATAATAATTATATTTTTATTGATATTGCAATATTATTTTTCAGAAATGAGCAGCATTACTACTATCGCTTGTAAGTTCTGCTCTTAATTATTTTAATCTTGCTTCTTTCTTGGCAAGGGCAAAATCAAAGACTGAAAAATTATACTTTTCAGCCAATTCTTACAACACTTGATTTCTTTATACAAAAAGTGGTTCAAACAATACTTTGGACAAGTTGAAAGAAAATGCGGCTGAGACCAAACCTATAAGTATATAAGATAGTATTACCAACTCCTAAGATGAACATTCCATTTAAAATGGGTCTGCTTGTAATTCTGGAAGTGATCATTTGTTGTTCTCTTAATGTTGCTAAAGCTAAGAATATACCACCAAAAGAAAATATGCCAGATCTCATGTCGACATCTATTGTTTATTCTTTGATGAATTTCTTATGATCTTCTTAAGTGATTTTTTCAGGTGTTTGACTAGCAATAAAATAAAATATTAATCTTCTTCTATCTTATGGTCCAGCTAATTATAATAGGATAAATTTACCAAGCATGAGGTTATCATGATTAATATAATAGCCATTTGTGGTTTTATGAAGTTATGGTGATACTAGCCAGCTCAAACTCATTTTTGGATATTTAATTAATTAATTATTTATAGTTGTAATATCAAATTTATTGGCATAGAAAACTTTACAATTTGTAACAATCCTTAATCTTAGTTTTGGTGAGATCAACTGGAATCGATATAAATCTACCCATTAGATGTTCACTCTAGAAATGTTAAAATAAATAAATTATTACAATTCGAATAAGATCATCAGTATCAACATCTTCAGAAAAGTGGGCACCTATATTTTGATGTTAACAAGTCCACAAAAATCCTCCATATACTCCTGCTACAACTTATAAAACTGTTGGACCAAACATTCCATTATAAATTTTAGAACTATCAATTTCATCCATAATACTGCCAGTCCACCAAGCTCTATTATTTTTCATAATCAATAGAGCTCCTACTTTATCCCAACCTTTCAATGAAGGATAATTCATAGGATGAATAACTTCCATATCTGGATGAGTATTCTCTATGGTAGCATCTGGTGGTAAGTTTTTAATGAATTCTTTAGCTAATGGATTATAATCATAAACATAATATTGTGATGGTGAGTATCCTGTCTCTGGATCACTCAAATAATCTTAAATAGAATAAGCTTCACCATGAGGAATTAAAACCCCTAAACTTTAGATAATAATGAATATACCTGTAATATCTTCATTAGGTACCCAACTCTTTGCCCATATATTAACAGATGGTATTTTTGAGACTATCGTTTTTCCATCCCTTATTGTATAACAATTTGGAATATGAGTATCTTCATGTGAACCTCTGGCTACTTAAATAGGTACTAATCCTTCTGTAAGGAATCCTCTGCATGACCATGTATTATAAAATTTTGTCTTGACATCTTTAGGAATTTCAGACATTAACTAATTGTCAGTTTCAGAACAATGAATTGTATGTACTCCAAGTGCTTATGCTAATTTAGAATGGTTCTTCTAATTCAGATACTTTCTCAAATCATTTAAATTATAATCTCTTTATGAGTTCTCTATATAATGCTTAGCACAATCTTCTAAACCTCTTTTTACACAATGAGATACTATTCCTGGATTGAATCCAGTTTCTAATAATGCAGTTGGACCCTTAATTTGAAATTAAACTTTTACTTTCGACCAAAATGGTGATTTTTTTGCATTATCTTTGATATAACCTAATGTCAATTTATATGCTTCGTCTGCATTCTATGGACATGAATTAGCATCTTCACTGTCTTCCCAAACTTCTAATGCTGTATTTAGATATTGAACTCCTTTTTAAGCACAGAGTGTCCAAATCTCTTGAAACCCAATATTTGTCGATAAATCTACTAGTGTATCTCCTTATTATAAGCTTATTAATATTATATTATTGTTTTACCCCATTACATCTAGTGTTTGTGTTAGGTTATCTCTGGTTTATTTATATATTATTGTCTTAAATCTCTTTTCGTTTGGAAAAAAAGCATCATGCTTGTCAAGAATTACAATATTAGCTTCTAACCAAATTAATAGAAGAATTTACATGGATGTTACTTTAATAATATTTCTGTAAAAGCTTTTCCAATTGCACCATATCCTAATACTCCGATTGTTTTTGGAAGATTAACTTTTTTACTAAATTGATAAAAGTCACGATTGATCAATTACATATAAGGAATTAGAATTGTTTAAAAAAATGTTGTATTTTTATATTACAAAAAATCTTTATATTTTGCAGCCCTTATATATATTTCAAAATAAATTAATTAAGATATTTTGAGTAATATTTATAGTAAATTTTATAATACTTATGATAAATTAATAATATATAATAACATCCCAATTCTTAAGTACAATATTATATCATTATTATTGAATCGCTAATTTATACATATAATCCATAAATAATAGATTTCTATTAAAGCACTTTATAATTATTGTAAATTTACAATTGAGTTATGCTCATATGATATTAGTTTCTCAGAGTTAAACAGTAAATTATAAAATATTAAAAGAAAAGAATTAACATTTAAATAATCAAAAGCATTATAAATGTAAAAGTAATTTTTTGATAGAATAGGAATAGTGTTAATAGTAGTTAGAAATAAAAATAACTAATATTTAGCTGTTTTAGAAACAAAAAATAGAGGATGGTGGTTACCAGGAGGTAGAGTTGATCCTGGAGAATAATTTGAAAAGGCAGCTTTAAGAGAAACTCTTGAAGAAGCAGGAATTAATGTAACTTTGAAAGGAGTGTTAAGAGTTGAATAAGACATTGATTAATTTAGTTGTTTTATGAGAATCAAAATAGTTTATTATGCAGAGCCAACTGATTAAAATTAAGTGCCTAAGAAAATAGCAGACAAAGGTATTAAATAATAACAATTAATTTTAAATAGAATCTGAAATGGCTACATGGGTTGATTATAATAAATTACATGAATTGGGAAAGACAAAAGAAGGTTGGAGAGGATTAGAATTACAATAATGGGCTAATTATATTGAATAAGGAGGGAATATTATGCCATTATGTACTGTTAGTAAAGAGGGAGCAAATGTAGAAATGGCTAAACCATTTACCATAAAGGAAATAAAATAAAATTGATATAATTCATAATGTAAAATTAAAGTCTAAATCAATGATTTATTGCAGTTCCTTTTCTTCAATGATTCTAACTTATTTGTCTAGAGTTGTTGGATTGTAAAACTCTAGTGATGCAGGAGTATAGACAATCTTAAATTCAGACTCAATAGTTTAATTCAATAAAAAGCCATTTTCTGAACATGCTAATCCTTATTGTCCTGCTACAACATCATACTATTCTGGTATGTTTACTTTGACTGATGCTCTAGTTGGAGTAAGAGTGATGATTTCAATATAGTTTTTAATAAAACTTTGAATAGGATTCTTAAAACAAAAACTAGCTAAACACTCCAAATCAGCTATAGAGAAATGATATTAACCAATTTATTTAATATTATTAGAAACTACTATTGATGGTGGTATGAATGCAATTTGATAATAGGATTCTTCATGATATACAATTTTCTTTATGATTTTTTCTTTTTTAGTCAATTTACCTGGTAGAATTGATACTGGAAACTTTTTTTATGGGATAACAAAATTAGATAATTCATCAATTTCAGACATCTAAATATTAATAATATTGAATACATAATTATCAATCTCTTGAAAATTAGATTGAAGTAGTTATGACATTTTTAAATTAGTTAATGGAATAGTTGCATGTTTATTAATGTCATCACAATATATGATCAATTTAGGCATTATACAAGTAAATCTTCTTTATTCCAATACAAATTCAATATCTTTTGGTTTTTAGATTTCATCAATAAATTCAGATCCACTTATAGCATAAACATTTAATTAAATCTTTTTATTTTAATATGTCATATCTATTTAGATTATGATAAGTACTTTCAATAATATAATTTGTCAAATCTTTTACTAATAATAGCTTCTTAGTTTGATTCCAATTTAATGTTAAAGGATTGTGTTCTTTTTTAACTTTTCTTTTTCTTAATATCATTGGTCTATGGATTTATAAATAATTTACGTTAATTTGGCTATTATAACATGATTGCCTTTATTAAATGTTTTATATATTTCTCCAAGTGGTTACACATCATCATTTATAATTTATAATAGTTATCTCTTATATTTCAATTCTTTTTCCCTCTCAGTTATACTTTCTGGATCTTATCTTTATCTTGAGTCAATTTCAATTAATTTGTATACTTAAGGTTTCTTTACTTGTTGTTATTATTATTAATTGTTTTGATTAATCTTAGTTTTTTAAGTTGTACCACTATTTTATGATCTTCCAAACTTCTACAGTTATATTTATTTATTGCTTTCATAATAACCTCTAATATCAATATGTAATAAATACTGATCACAGAGTACTCCAAAATTCCTAGGTATAAACTTTTAATAGTGAACTTCCACCTATGGCTTAGTAGTAAATTCAAAATTAGGTTTAGATGTTTTTGCACTCAAATTCCTTAATTATGTTGATGTCATTAATTTTGCAGTTTTTGGTCTCATTTAAACGTCCAGAAATTCACGTACAAATGTCTCAGATGTTTATGGTCTCATATATAAAATATTATATAAATTATAATAATTATAAAATAATATTCTAATTAAATAACATCAATCTAATTTAGTAATTATTTATTTAATATTTCTATGTCTAATTCTAATCTATTTAGACATAGAAATAGTATTATAATCCATATACTTTTAATAAATATAATTCAACTTATTTATTATTGATTTATCAATTATAAATTCATTATCTTTTAAAATATTAAATATATTTTATGAATATACATTTTATTTTATGTATATAATTTCAAAATAAATTTTACATTTTCTTTTAAATTCTATTTTATCAAAATAAAAGATTGCCTAGTTTATTGTTTTAGATTAAGAGATGCATTACGTATCATAATAATGCAAACTTACAGTTAATCTGTAAATGATTTTAATTCAAAAATAGTATAGAAATCCATCTATAGATTTCAAGTTGTATTAAGAATTTGATGACTCAAAAAAAATTAATATAAACTAATGATCTTAAGTTATGCAAAGGATTTTTTCATTTTTACAACAAGAATATCCAAAAGAATTGATTAAATTTATTTAAGATTGATTTTGATCTGTTATCTACTAAATTTTTTTTTTAGATTATTAATAAATATATAGAATATTTTTATTTATAGAAAATTATGAATCTTCTCATTTTCTTATGTTATATAATACCTTTAGATTTATTTAAAATTGTATATTAATTTTATAAATATAATTAGAAGCATTTTACATTGATATATATATATTTAAACCTATAATAATCATAAAGTTTATCAATAATATCTTTATGATCCATTATTGCTTTAAGATTCATAAGGTTGATTTTATTGGGCAGAAATAACTTTGCTCTAGAGAAATAAAGAATATAATTTACTCTCATTAAATTCAATCTTGAATTTTCATTAGCCAAAAGGGCACATTTATTTTCTAATTCAATAATTCTTTTATTTTTTTCATCTAATTATTATTATTCATATCTAGTATCTACTCTTGTTTATGAAGTTGTTTAGATTCTTGATTTTAATTCTAGGATTTCCCTTTCTTAATTTTTAATTTTTTCATTTAATTAATTTTATCCATTATCATTATTTTGATTATTAATAAATGAACTTCTTTAAGAATTAGGTGCTTATTGATTTAATTAAGAACTCAATTAATTAATTTAATTCTATAATTCTCTCTCTCTCTACTAAGATATTTTTAGAGATGATTCTAATTATTAAATCTTACCATTATTAACTTAAGATGTACCTCCTTAACCAATAATACTTGATCCAGTAGTGACTCTTTATTCAATTACATAACTACTCCTACCAAGATTAGATTCATTTTAAAATTATTCTTAGAGTTTTTATTCATCAATATTTTTCATATAAACTTCATATTTCTTTAATTTATTTTATAAAGCTTTAATTTCTGCCATCAAATTTCTAATCATTTAATCAGCAGATTTATCTCTCTAAAAATAATTAATTATATTAATATACCAAAGAATCAAATTCTTACATGATAAGTGTCTTAATTTTTTATTCTTATTCATTAACTTAATATTTTAATGATTAATTAGCTGATTCCAATTCAGAAATTAATGTTAAATTTTTAGTATTCTATAAATTTAATTATGTTATTTAATTTTCCAATGCTCTTATTTAATCTACTTTTTAATTTAATTATATTCTCAATTCATTTTTATCTTAATTTAATTTACTAAAAATGATATCAAATTCTTATTTTTATTCACTAGTCAAATTTTCATATTTTTCAATTAATGTTTTTTCTGTTGATATTCTAGTTTCATCTACTGAATATTTAATTTATTATTTCAATCTAATTACTTATTGTTCCCAATCTCTATTAATCTATAATAAATAATAAATAATAAATTTACATTTTATTCTCTTTTATAATTTTCAATCATAATAGATAAATCTTCTTCTAATTCTTTCATTCTCATTGTATAATTATTAGTTTCTTTTTCAAATCTAACTTATAATGCTTAGAATTCTTCATTTAACAATTAATATTTTCCTTCTAATTAAATATAAGATTATGTTTTTTCATTTACATTACTTGTGATTCTTTAATTATCTCTATTTAATTTTGATACATCATTTTCATATATTCTTCTATAATCATTAAATTCTTATTATAATTATTCAAATTAATTAAGAATAAGATTCTTTTCTTTATTTAATTAAATATATTAATTATTTTTAAGATCTAATTATTCTTATTAATTTCTTAATCTATCTTATAATTCTGTTATTTATTTTTAGAATATTAAAATATCATTATCAGTTCTTCTTTATATTGTTTATAATTATTCACTAAGTTATTTTACTTTTAATTCTAATTCAGTAATAGTTTATTATCTATCATTCAATTAAACTTAAAACCATGATCTTTCTTTTGATGATAATTCATCAGTTTTAGTAATTTCTTAATTATATCTAAGTTTTTGAGTATTAATTTCATCTTACAACTTCAAATATTATCTCTCAATTCTTTCCTTATCAGAATAAATCTAATTAAGTTCATTAGTCTATAAATCAAATGATCTTGATAATTTATTTAATTTATCTTCAAGATCTTAAATTCTATAATTCAATGCCTATGTATCCTTATCATATAATTATTATAATTAAAAGAATTAATCTAATTATTATCTATTTTTTTTCTCTAAATCATTAATTTATTATATTTTTTCATTTAATTAAGTTTAAAATTATTATTAATCTCTAATAAATTTAGATTCATTTGTTTTGATTGTTGATTAATAATTATAAATTTATGTATTAGATTCTGATTACAATTTATCCAATTAAACTGCCAAATTCTACTTTTCTATATTTATTGTATTCACTAAAATAGTTTATTAATCAAATTATTATTATAATCTTCTATATCTATCTTCAGCATCATTACATTAAACTTTAAGAGATGAAGTATCTTAATCATATTTCCTTTATAACATTTAAAATTAATCACTTAATTATTGATATCTTAATTCTAATTATTATATATTAACTTATTTTTCATTCACAATTAATGATAATCTTTGACTATCTTTAGTGTATCTTAATTCTCCTTCAGATATTTCCTGCTTATAATTTAATTTAGAACTACCTATTTGATCTTACAAAGCTTGACATTAAGATGCAAGACTTACCTTGTCTCTTTGTAATTAATTTATTTAGATAACCTAAGAATCACATTGTATTTATAATTTTTATAATCTGTCTTCCAAATCAAGAATCTATCGTTTACTAACATCATTCTGTTGAGATAATCGTATTTAACTAGATACCTCTAAATCAGAAATTTTGGATTATAATTATCTAATAGTTTGATTAGCACTTCCAAAATCAGTTTATAACGATTCTCTTTAGATTGTTGATCTGGCTATTTCTTATTCATAAAGAATTGGTTTTTGTGATAGATTTTTCAATTAAAATTCTAAATCCTCAATTCGTTTTTATAATAATCGT